GGGTCCGCGGGGCCGCGCTGGGCGGGAGAGCGGGCCTGGGGAGCGCCTGCGCCCCTGGACCGGCGGGATTTCCGAGGGAGGCAGCGGGCCGCGCGACCACAGGACATGGACCCGGGGTCCCTCCCAGGCGCTCCTCTGGAGATTTCGGGGTATTGGGCTGTGTGCTCGTTCCCGGGCGGTGACCAGTGGCCCCTGAGTCCTTGCAACTCCGAGTGACCCTATGGGCCAGTCTAGAACTGGCCGGCAAGGGTTTCCAAGACGGTGGTGTGTTTCAGAAAGTTATGTACTTGTTCCTAGATGGGGTGCGAGTTTACAGAGCAAATCCGAATCCCGCTCCACCTGTACAGCGTTCTGTTTCTGCCTTTGACTGAACTTCCCTCCCAGAAAGGAAGGCTGGTGGGAGAAATTCAAAAGGATAAAACCGGCCAGGGAGAGAAACAGCGGAGGCAAGTGAGACAGCCAGTGGTCGATGTAATTAATAGTAATAATTTATCATTTATGAAGGGGTCGCGAGGGGGGGCGGTAAAAAGAGGAGCTGACATCAAGGGCTCAAATAGAATGTAAATGTTTAGAAATAACGATGGCAACATATGCACAAATATGCTCGATACAACTGATGTGTGGATTGTTATAAGAGCTGTAAGAGACCCCAAGTAAATGTTGTTTTAAAAAAAAAATAAATGATGAGGGCAACAAATGTATAGATGTGCTTTACACAATTGATCTATGTATTGTGATAAATTGTATGAGCCCCAATAAATTGATTAATTAAAAAAAATAAATAAATAAAGTCAAGAAAGACATTAAAAAAAATAAATAAAAATAAAAATAAAATAAAACGAACAGGCATGCTGGTCCGGTGCAGACTGGTGGGCAGCCCCCTCCCCTCCGGAGTCTGTGGGCTGAATGTGAACCCAGGCCTGTGGCTTTACTCTCAGCCTGGTAGCAGACAAGCCTACAAGTGCCAGGAGAGCAAGGTGGAGGGGCCAGCCTGGTAGGAACCCACCACCGGGGCTTTTCTTCTATGAGCCCAACGGCTGACCTTGGGTCAGTAGCCCTGTACTTAATCCACTGCGCCACCAGGCCGAGACAAGCCGCCAAGCCCCACTGGGCCTCAGGCTCCACGCCTATAGCATTGCAGGCAGAGAGTCCAGCTCGTCCGGGCAGCTTTGGCTCATGTGTCCTGGTCATCCATTCCCGCTTCGGTGTTGCCGGGTGGACCCGGAGTCCTCTGGCCTAGCTGCCCCGTCTGCATTTAAGCATGCACGCATGCACGCATCCATTCTTAGAGTCAGGCACTGCTGCGTACCTCCTGGTGGCGGGTGGACTCCCCAGACAGCCCCTGCCCTCGTCCGCTTGTGGGTCACAGCCTCACCTTCCCAGCGAACATTGGGTTCTCTATAACCCAGCCCGGTGAGTTTTGTAAAGGGGACCTGGCAGTCCTGGCAGTGAATTTGTCACTCGGTGACTGACCCTCAGTGACGGCTCACCACAGCTTACTGAGCCAGTTCCTACCTTTACCATTTTACAGATGCGGAGACTGAGGCTCCGGCTGTGTATGTAAGCTCAGAGGCCATCCCCTTCTGGGTGCAGGGGTTCTGGCCCGGATGGGGCTGCCCAGGGAGGCCTGCTGGAGGAGATGTCAGGAGAGGGGGGTGGGGGGGTGAGCTGCCTGACAGTGGCTGAAATATGGCGGGCATTTGATAAGTCATGGTCCACACCCACTGCTGTCCAAGGTGACTCGAATTCGTAGTGACCCTATAGGATAGAGTAGAGCTGTCCCCATCCAGTCCCCAAAGCTGTGGGTCTTTATAGACGCAGACTGCCTCATCTTTCTGGTGTGGAGCGGTGGGTGGGTTCAAAGCACCAAGCTTGTGATTGGCATTCAGTGCATAACCTTACTCCAAGTCCAGAGGCCATTTCTCACTCATACTTGGAGAGGCTGGGATTGGAGGCCCCGTCTGCCTGAACCCCAAAGCCAGAACTCTGTTTATTCATCTGCTCCCTACTGAGGTAGGCGTTAGCGCTCCCATTTCACCTCCGGGTAAGCTGAGGCTTGTGGGGCTTAACCAGGCTGGCTGGGCTCTCAGCTGCTCACGGACAGGCTACACTGGTCCAGGCCGGGCCATGGGGACTCGGCCCAGGGTGGTTGCCCCTGAAGGGACTCTGGTTCGTGGGTAGGATGGATGAGGTTCAAAGGGAGCTTGAATAGCAACTCGATGGCACTAGGTTTGCTTTTTCTTTTTGATTGGTTGTTGGCAGGACCTCTGGTGGTTTAGTGCCAGCTGTTCCATGGGAGAAAGATGAGGCTGGCAGCCTCAGAGACCGAAGGGGCCGTTCTATCCTGTCTTAGCGTAGCGGGTCCTCACGAGTCAGCATAGACTCAAGGACAGTGAGTTTTGGTTTTCTTTGCTTTGGCTACTTTTTGGGTATCAGAGTGGTTCTCCTTGTGTGAAGGTAGGTGCCCTGCAGTCATTTCCTACCCATAGCGACCTGATACACAGCAGACTGAAACACTGCCCGCTCCTCACCATGGCTCCGAGGTCTGAGCCCATGGCTGCAGCCACTGTGTCAATCCACCTTAGCAAAGGCCTTCATCTTTTCCCCTGCCTCCTCTACTTTCCCAAAGAGGATGGCCTTTCCCAGGGACTGTTCCGGGACATGTCCCAAGTACATGACACAGAGTCTCATCATCCTTGCCTCTAAGGAGCACTCTGGTTGTACTTCTTCCAAGACAAATCTGTTTGTCCTTTCAGCAATCCTGTTGCTCACCAACACCGCCGTTGAAATACATTGGGTTTTTTTTCTCCAGTCTTCCTTATTCAGTGTCCAACTTTCACCGCCTCGGAGGCGGTTGAAACCTCCCGTGGATTGAGTCAGGCATACCTTAGCCCTCAAAG